ATGCAGGTCGGCGTCATCACCCCCTGGGTCATCACCGCCTGGATCATCACCGCTTGGGTCATCACTGGCAGTATCATCAGTTCATCATGGGATGCCATACACCTGTACTGGGACGCCATACGCCCGTACTTGGAAGCCATACGCCAGTACTGGGAAGCCATACGCCAGTACTGGGAAGCCATACGCCAGTACTGGGAAGCCATACGCCAGTACTGGGAAGCCATACGCCAGTACTGGGAAGCCATACGCCAGTACTGGGAAGCCATACGCCAGTACTGGGAAGCCATACGCCAGTACTGGGAAGCCATACGCCAGTACTGGGAAGCCATACGCCAGTACTGGGAAGTAGTAGTAGGGAGTACAGCTTAAACACGATTTTATTTTTTTAATTCGCGTTTACGCTGTCGGGTTTCCTGGTAATTTATCCATTCACGTTTGTGACGTCGAGTTTCCTGATAAGTTTCTCATTTGGAGTTAAAGAATTCTTATGAGAAAAATAATTTCCGAGATCTTAGAAGTTTGTTAAGAGTTCTTATGGTAGAAAATAATTTAGAAAATCTTACAGAAAAAATCAGGGGCAAAGTTCGCTCCCGTATTACTGAGATTAAACTCTACGGTCAATTTTATGTTATTTTGGGGAAAAATCATGTTTAATGTCTTAAGGATTTCTTATGGGGGAAATTCGAGGCAAAATTCGTGTTTAAGTTCTTAAAGGTTTCTTATGGGAGAAATTCATAATTTTTGAGAGTTCAGTTTTTATGAAAATATTTGAGTTTATATAATCATAGGCGTTTATTTAAGAGTGTAGTTTCGATATTAACCTATCAATTTCCCTGAAATTTTAAACAGTCATATTTCAGACGTAGTAAATCAAACCTAGTCAGTATGCATGTTCTAGCTCCTGTTCCCGCCTTACTTTATCCCCGTAACTTCTTTACTAACAGTCCAATCCCCCTGAAATTTTAAACAGTCATATTTCAGACGTAGTAAATAAGATCCGAACAACTACCGTGCTCCAGCTCTTGTACCCATGTTTTGGATCATTTGATCAACTCCTTTAGTAACAGACTAATTTCCCTGAAATTTAAAAGCGCTGTATTTCTAACGTAGTAAAACAAGTTTATGTCAGTAATTATGCTCCAGTTTTTGTCCCTGCCTCAGTTCTCTCTTGTAAATTCACTACTATTAGCCCAAATTCCCTGAGATTTAAAACCCAACTACATTTCAGTCCCCTGTAAAATAAATCAAAGCAAATTACCGAGTTTCAGCTCATGTCCTCCGCTTAGTTCGTCAAATTAAATTCGGATCAAGATGCTCTCAAGTCTATCAGAAGTAAACATCATTTCCTTCTTTTGTACTCGGCTTTGTAAATAATCACTAACGAGCTAATGTTCACACAGTAATTAAAATCACACGGTTATATAGCACCTTACCTTCAATACCATTTATTTGCTCAACTAAGCAATGATCACACGGTCAGAAATCACACCTTACCTTTTCCCTCCCTTATCTCCCCACACTCATTACTTTTTCCCCTTACTTTCTCATCCCTTACCTCCCCTTCATCTCGCCCATTCCCTCTACTCCCCCCTTTATCTCGCCCATTTCCCATCTTATTCAAACATTCAATAATCCTACTGTATTTGCATATTCTCTCCATGTTCTTCAAAATGTTCACAGCAAGTTCAGTTCATATTTTCCGTGTTCACTCCATGTTTTGCCTCGAATTTCCCCCGTAAGAAATCTCTAAGACATTATAAATGATTTTGTCCCAAAACAATATAAAATTGACCGTAGAATTTATTCTCAGTAATACGGGAGCGAACTTTGCCCCTGATTTTTTCTATAAGATTTTCTAAATTATTTTCTACCATAAGAACTCTTAACAAACTTCTAAGATCTTGGAAATTATTTTTTTCATAAGAATTCTTTAACTCCAAATCAGAATGGCAGATTTTACCTGAAACTCCCTACAGCGTAAACGCGAATTTAAAAAAAAAAATCGTGTTTAAGCTGTACTCCCTACTACTCTGGGACGCAAAAAGCCAGTACTGGGACGCTATACGGCAGTACTGGTACGCCATACGGCAGTACTGGGACGCCATACGGCAGTACTGGGACGCCATACGGCAGTGCTGGGAGGCTATACACCAGTACTGGTACGCCATACGGCAGTACTGGGACGCCATATGCCAGTTCTGGCATAGAAAAATAATAAAAAGGTGAGAAGGTATATTTTGCTCCAAAGTAAGTGCATTCCGACTCAGACTTTAATACTTCCAGCTAGCTTTATCTCGTTTGATGCCTCGGCGAATTAAAAAGTCTGAGAAAGAAGACTTTATCTCAAACTTAGAAATTCCTAACTCTAATTTACAGCCACGACATTCCTGATTAAGAAATTAAAACAACAGACTTTAAATGAATTCTTGATTGTCTCAAATTAGCAAAGTTCCGGATGAGACGATGTCGTTATTCCTCAATGAAGAGCTCTCTTGAGCTCCTCCTTAGAGCACTCTCCTAAACTCCTCAACAAAGTGTTTTCCTGAACTCTCAAATAGAACGCTGTCTTGAATTGATCAATAAAGTGAAAGGGTTTTATTTTTTCATGCTGTCATTATATGATGTCCTCCTTCCATAACTTAGCTGGATTAATCATTTTCATCCGCCCCGATTAGTGGATGGGTGACTCAGTAAGGTCTGGATGCCTGAGTGTACTTATATATATATATATATATATATATATATATATATATATATATATATATATATATATATATATATAATATATATATATATATATATTATATATATATATATTATATATATATTATATATATATATATATATATATATATATATATATATATATATATATATATATATATATATATATAATATATATATATATATATATATATATATATTATATATATATATATATATATATATATATATATATATATATATATATATATATATATATATATATATCAAAAGCCAGCAAAGATTCAGATACCATTTGCACTTTTATTAGCCAATAAAACTGCTTAATGTTAACACAAATAAGGACACAGTAAACAAATCGAATTGGTATGTAACTATTAGGTGAGTATAATGAAATAAACAGTATTGAAATAATTGGCGGTAATATTCAAATAGTTTAATAACAACATATAGCAATCCGTTTGAAGATGCAATAGTAATCCATGACACAAGCGTCTGGATTCAATCCATGACACAATCGTCATTAAATGTTGAGTGTTTGCTATTGTTAATGCAATCTACGGTTCGTGCTACATGCTTCCTCTATTGTATTTGGATCATAATCCTTACGAAAATAATTAAATCAAATATCATTACAAAAATTAACAGTAAGGTACAGTTTTTTCAACGATGTAATACAAACATTACTTTCTCGATAATGAAAAAAAAAAAACGTGGTAATTCTTGAAACAACTTGACACATGGAAAGCAGTGTTGCGGAGTTGAATCCCCCCCCCCCCAGCACTACCCATGAGACTTGACTGCGACTGTAAATTCGTGATTTCATGTCAGACCTGGGTAAATACTGGTTCGGTAACAGGGTTGTTGATTTGTGGAACCAATTACCGCGTAACGTGGTGGAGGTGGGGACCCTTGATTGTTTCAAACGTGGGTTAGACATGTATATGAGTGGCATAGGGTGGTTATAAATAGGAGCTGCGTGTGTGTGTGTGTGTGTGTGTGCGTGTGTGTGTGTGTGTGTGTGTGTGTGTGTGTGTGTGTGTGTGTGTGTGTGTGTGTGTGTGTGTGTGTGTGTGTGTGTGTGTGTGTGTGTAAAATCACGAAAATTAACACGTGGTGAAAATTGTGAGTGTCAGACTCCCCGGCATTACACTCCCCGGAACTAGACAATGACACGGACGCTGCGACTCGGACCCTGAGGGAATGAGCCCAGGTTACAGTCCTAATTACACTACTCCTTGCGTTCGGACCCCAGGACACGGAACCCCAGGACACGGAACCCCAGGACACAGACCCCCAGGACACGGACCCCAGGACACAGACCCCCAGGTCACAGACCCCCAGGACACGGACCCCCAGGACACGGACCCCGCCAGGACACGGACCCCCAGGACACAGGCACCAGGACACGGACCCCCAGGCCATGGACCCCAGGACACGGGCGCTACACAGCCACTGGCATCTCTGGCGCGCAGCGATAACAATGTTTTTGCACAAATATTATTATTTGATAGGAAGCAATTAACTGGAGAAGCTTATATTAAACCTTACAAGTATATAAAGGCTGAGCAGTCATTGTTCCTGGTGCTGTGGGCCCTCGTGTACTGGTCTATACCTGAACTAGCTAGTTGGTGACTCGGCGGGGACTCGAGGGCGTTTGGACCACTGATATGACAAGCCCTGTCTTCCCAGACCCACCTGCAGTGTTGCTTCAATGTTGCCGTTAAGGACTAGCGCGGCTCAAGAATTCTTTAGCTTTGTATATAATCGAAGTTTAAATTAAATTGTGGTATATATAATATGTATACTGAGAAGCGGAGTATACCTCTCAGTGTAGGTGTCCCTAGGTAGTGTAGCGGAGTATACCTCTCAGTGTAGGTGTCCCTAGGTAGTGTAGCGGAGTATACCTCTCAGTGTAGGTGTCCCTAGGTAGTGTAGCGGAGTATACCTCTCAGTGTAGGTGTCCCTAGGTAGTGTAGCGGAGTATACCTCTCAGTGTAGGTGTCCCTAGGTAGTGTAGCGGAGTATACCTCTCAGTGTAGGTGTCCCTAGGTAGTGTAGCGGAGTACACCTCTCAGTGTAGGTGTCCCTAGGTAGTGTAGCGGAGTATACCTCTCAGTGTAGGTGTCCCTAGGTAGTGTAGCGGAGTACACCTCTCAGTGTAGGTGTCCCTAGGTAGTGTAGCGGGGTATACCTCTCAGTGTAGGTGTCCCTAGGTAGTGTAGCGGAGTACACCTCTCAGTGTAGGTGTCCCTAGGTAGTGTAGCGGAGTACACCTCTCAGTGTAGGTGTCCCTAGGTAGTGTAGCGGGGTATACCTCTCAGTGTAGGTGTCCCTAGGTAGTGTAGCGGAGTACACCTCTCAGTGTAGGTGTCCCTAGGTAGTGTAGCGGAGTACACCTCTCAGTGTAGGTGTCCCTAGGTAGTGTAGCGGGGTATACCTCTCAGTGTAGGTGTCCCTAGGTAGTGTAGCGGAGTACACCTCTCAGTGTAGGTGTCCCTAGGTAGTGTAGCGGGGTATACCTCTCAGTGTAGGTGTCCCTAGGTAGTGTAGCGGAGTAACCTCTCAGTGTAGGTGTCCCTAGGTAGTGTAGCGGAGTACACCTCTCAGTGTAGGTGTCCCTAGGTAGTGTAGCGGGGTATACC